ATATATATATATACACACACACACACACACACACACACACACACACACACACACACACACACACACACACACACATATACATACATGTATATATGTATACATTATAAAAATAAGCTATGGAATAAAAAATTAATAAAAACCGTCATGAAAACATATAAAAATAAAATTATGTATGACATTGAAACAAAACAACTGTATATTTTGTATCTGTCGAATCGTATTATTTTTTATTATTATTGAAAGCTCTATACTTGTGTACACGTAAGCCCATATTCAGAACGCGTTTATAAAAATGTTAGCACGTGTTTTTATCATTCTATCTTCATCAGTCATTAGACAAAAAGATAGAATGACAAAAATATGCGCTAACATATTTATAAGCACGTTCTGAATATGGCTCATAATGCACACATTTGTATTTCTGATATGTACGTATTAACTGACTTTAAGGTCTTATTTAATTAGGACAAAAATTATCCAATTCAAAAGTTATAAAAAATTTGTAAAAGTTATAAAAAAACTTGTTTTACTCAATGCCAGATATAACAATTATTATTACCCAAAATTATTATTTTTCCTCGATACAGAATCTTTGAAAAACAATTATTTCTCAAATGTTATTTTCAAATATAATGTAGTACACAATAAATAAGCTTTAGTATAATATATATATAACATATTATAATAAAACAAGACATAATTACGTTATTTTTTTTCCTTTTCAGTATAAATAATTATTAAAAATTACAAAAGTAAGTGTAGATAAGTATGTGTATATTGAAAAAACATATTTTATTATTTTTACAAATTTCGTTCGTTACAATAAAGTAGACATGTTTAGCCCGTGTTTTGAGTTTCATTTACAGTTACATTACTGGATACTTTTGCAGTACTACACTACAGCGGAGTAGTACAGTAGTGCGTAATAATGCAGTAATGTAATAGTGCATAGTAGTGCAATAGTATAGTAGTGTAGTAGTGCACTAGTGTAGTAGTGCCTTAAAATACTACTGCGCACTAGTAGTGCTCAGTAGTATTTTTCTACAAGGATAGACGTTTCAAATTTCAATCAGGTTATTAAAAAACTGTGATTTTACAACATTGTTAATTTTTTTATTTCACTTTCGGCTTTGGCAGCAATATGATATGCTTTTTTAGTTTATTTTTTTAATTTATTATTTTATTATTATATTAGGTGTACAAAAAAGTTCAGAGTTTTAGATTTCATACAACCGAAATAACAATTTAAATTTTATATATCTTCCCGCCCTTTTGCGGTTTTAAGGCGTTGACATTTGGCCTTCTAAAATGCCATACGGTTTTTGGCGTTTGATGCACAAAACCTCAAAAATCAATAGTATTCACGGCAAAAACAAAAGAGCATATTCGATTTTCCATCCACTTCGCGTTTCATCTGAAGAAAAATGCTGAAGCCACTGCAATGATTTGTGCTGCATATGGAGAGAACGCTGTAAGTCATACTACATGTAAAAGATGGTATTAAAAATTTCGCCAAGGAGATTTCAGTCTTGAAGATGAACCGCGTGCTGGACGCCCTCAAAAGATTGAAACGGACGAATTGCAAGCACTGCTGGATATAAACTCTGCGCAAACTGAAAAGGAGCTTGCAGAACAGCTTGGCGTTACGCAGCAAACCATTTCCGTACGTTTACATACGATGGGAAAGGTTCAGAAGGAAGGCAGATAAGTTCCGCATGAATTGTCCGAAGACAACAAAAATCGTCGGCGTGACACTGCACTCACTTTGCTTTCCAAATTCCGGAAAAAAGATTTTCTGCACAAAATTATTACAGGCGATGAAAAGTGGATTCTTTATGATAACCCTAAACATAGAAAATGATGGATTGATCCTGGTCAACCTTCGACATCGACACCAAAGCACAATATCCACGCCAAGAAGGTTTTGCTTTGTATCTGGTGGGATTGGAAAGGTGTGTTGTATTACGAGTTGTTACAACCGGATGAAACAATCACGGCAGACCGCTACCAACAACAATTGACCAATTTGAGCGATGCATTAGAAGAAAAGAGCCCATTTACTGGCCAAGGACGTCGTAAAGTGATTTTGCTTCATGACAATGCTCGACCACATGTTGCAAAAGCGACTCAGGACCATATCTTTGCGTTAGGCTGGGAACTTCTCCCGCAGGCAGCGGGACTTCACGCGGCGTATAGCCCAGACCTTGGTGCCTTCCGATTACTACCTATTCCGGTCGTTGCAGCATCATTTGGCTGATATACATTTCGTGAGATTTGAAGAGATACGAAAATGCATTGATGACTTTATCGCTTCGAAGCCGGTGAGCTTCTATCGTCAAGGAATTTGCAAGCTACCTGAAAGATGGCAAAAGGTCGTTGATGCAAACGGGGAATATTTCGCTGATTAATATTTTTTGTTTGTTTTTGAATAAAGATTGAATTTTACAAAAAAAAGACTACAGAACTTTTTGTACTA